AATGGAAATGAATTCCATTAGAATCTCCATTTACTATAAGAATGGAAATGAATTCCATTAGAATCTCCATTTACTATAAGAATGGAAATGAATTCCATTAGAATCTCCATTTACTATAAGAATGGAAATGAATTCCATTAGAATCTCCATTTACTATAAGAATGGAAATGAATTCCATTAGAATCTCCATTTACTATAAGAATGGAAATGAATTCCATTAGAATCTCCATTTACTATAAGAATGGAAATGAATTCCATTAGAATCTCCATTTACTATAAGAATGGAAATGAATTCCATTAGAATCTCCATTTACTATAGGAATGGAAATGAATTCCATTAGAATCTCCATTTACTATAGGAATGGAAATGAATTCCATTAGAATCTCCATTTACTATAAGAATGGAAATGAATTCCATTAGAATCTCCATTTACTATAAGAATGGAAATGAATTCCATTAGAATCTCCATTTACTATAAGAATGGAAATGAATTCCATTAGAATCTCCATTTACTATAAGAATGGAAATGAATTCCATTAGAATCTCCATTTACTATAAGAATGGAAATGAATTCCATTAGAATCTCCATTTACTATAAGAATGGAAATGAATTCCATTAGAATCTCCATTTACTATAAGAATGGAAATGAATTCCATTAGAATCTCCATTTACTATAAGAATGGAAATGAATTCCATTAGAATCTCCATTTACTATAAGAATGGAAATGAATTCCATTAGAATCTCCATTTACTATAAGAATGGAAATGAATTCCATTAGAATCTCCATTTACTATAAGAATGGAAATGAATTCCATTAGAATCTCCATTTACTATAAGAATGGAAATGAATTCCATTAGAATCTCCATTTACTATAAGAATGGAAATGAATTCCATTAGAATCTCCATTTACTATAAGAATGGAAATGAATTCCATTAGAATCTCCATTTACTATAAGAATGGAAATGAATTCCATTAGAATCTCCATTTACTATAAGAATGGAAAAGAATTCCATTAGAATCTCCATTTACTATAAGAATGGAAAAGAATTCCATTAGAATCTCCATTTACTATAAGAATGGAAATGAATTCCATTAGAATCTCCATTTACTATAAGAATGGAAAAGAATTCCATTAGAATCTCCATTTACTATAAGAATGGAAATGAATTCCATTAGAATCTCCATTTACTATAAGAATGGAAAAGAATTCCATTAGAATCTCCATTTACTATAAGAATGGAAAAGAATTCCATTAGAATCTCCATTTACTATAAGAATGGAAAAGAATTCCATTAGAATCTCCATTTACTATAAGAATGGAAAAGAATTCCATTAGAATCTCCATTTACTATAAGAATGGAAATGAATTCCATTAGAATCTCCATTTACTATAAGAATGGAAATGAATTCCATTAGCATCTCCATTTACTATAAGAATGGAAATGAATTCCATTAGAATCTCCATTTACTATAAGAATGGAAATGAATTCCATTAGAATCTCCATTTACTATAAGAATGGAAATGAATTCCATTAGAATCTCCATTTACTATAAGAATGGAAATGAATTCCATTAGAATCTCCATTTACTATAAGAATGGAAATGAATTCCATTAGAATCTCCATTTACTATAAGAATGGAAATGAATTCCATTAGAATCTCCATTTACTATAAGAATGGAAATGAATTCCATTAGAATCTCCATTTACTATAAGAATGGAAATGAAATCGAATACATTAGGCCTATGCTACAAGAATGGAAACGAAGTCCAATATATTCAACCTATACAAAAAGAATGGAAATGATGTCCAATATATTCAACCTATACAAAAAGAATGGAAACGACGTCCAATATATTCAACCTATACAAAAAGAATGCAAATGAAGTCCATTAGAATCAGCTTTCTTTACAAGAATGGAAATGAATCAAGGAAGAATCACCTTGATTACAAGAAAGGAAATAAAGTCCATTTGAATCAGCCTTGATTACAATAAGGGAACTGACTTCTATTAGAATCAACCTTGATAACCAGAATATAAATGAATCAATGAAGAATTAGCCTTGATTACAGGAATGGAAATGAAGTCCATTAGAATCACCAATGATTACAAGAATAGAAATGAGGTCCATCAGAAACAACCTTGATTACAAGAAAAGAAATGAATCAAAAAAGAATCAGCCATGATTACAAGAGAGTTTACCATACTGATTACAACAAAAGATCAAATCAAACAAATTCAAAACACCCCAGAGTAAAAGATAGATAATCCAATCTATTCGAGTCATTCTAGAGTACAATAAAGCAAACTAAATCCATTCGAGTCAGTCTAGAGTACAATAAAGCAACTTAAATCCATTCGAGTCAGTCTAGAGTACAATAAAGCAAATTAAATCCATTCGAGTCAGTCTAGAGTACAATAAAGCAACTTAAATCCATTTGAGTCAGTCTATAGTACAATAAAGCAAATTAAATCCATTCGAGTCAGTCTAGAGTACAATAAAGCAAATTATATCCATTCGCGTTAGTCTAGAGTACAATAAAGCAATTAAATGCATATCTGATTGCGGAGTGAGTTGAGTTAAGTATTGATCCCAATAACAAATTTGGTTTTATTATTAGCATGTTATTGTTTCATACCAAGATTTCAAGAAACGTATATAGGAATGGGATTGGCTGAATCAGTAATGAGCAATACAGAACCATTTCAATATTTCAGGATATTTCAATATTTTCTGTGTATGAGCTTATTGTTTAAAAGAAGTGAAGTTCAGGTAGACAAGAAGGAATGAATATTTTCATTTGGGTCAGGGTTTTGGAGATTCCTAAGTAGTTTTTGTAAGCTATTCTGTTGTAAATAAACAAGGCACATTAGATCATTATAGAAAATACAAGACGGAATTAGAGTTAAAAAATACTTGAACGTTTGAACAATAAAGAGGAAAAAATGCAAATGCAGTTGCAACTGGAAAAAGAGGAAAAAAAGAAATATAAATGCAAACAAAAGAATATGATGTGATTATTATTTATAACGTAGCTTTTACAAATTTTCAGTCATATCACAACGATGTCTGCACTGGGGCAATTTATAGTGATGTCTAGCACTGGAGCATCATGCCGCAGACATGTAGCATGAAACACAAAAGGGTGAAAGATATCAATTTAGATTAAGAGAATAGAGGTGGCAATGGAAAAGCACATTCCCAATTTACGTAAAAATTCAAATTTTGATGTTTCTAAAATTAATAGGTTACTGCCCCTTGGAGAAAAAGAAAGTAGAAAATATTGTCCTCATTTTTAATTAATTGCTGAAACTTCGAAATGCCCAATAGAGCATTGGACCCTTTTTTACAGAATGAATATTTTAGAAAACCCAGTGACATCAATGCTTTCCATTAGAACAACAAAGAGCTTAATATGATTTGGTTAATGAATGCATCTTAAGGGGGTTAGTCCCTGAGGCTTATCAACAAAATCTATAAAAAGAGAAGCTGGACAAACTCATGACTCGTGTCGTAAAGAGTAGTTATTTGATAGGTGGTGCTTAGCCAAGAAATTTAACGAAGATTACGAAAATCTAAGACAACGTATTGCTTGGAGAGTTCACGAATCGCATCCATAGTGACATTACAAATTATCTTGATAAGCATAAGGTAGAAAGCTTAGAACCATTAAGCTCATAATGCTGAGCGCCAAGCAAGGTAGCTGTTTGCATCATTTTTTAAAGTCCTTGGTATTGTTACGTGACAAGGGCTCGTACTCAGTAACAAAGAAAAAAGTGAAAGCCAACAAGCTTTGTATATTTTAACAAAACAATTTATTTCCCTAGACAACAATGTAAAAGTTGGTAAATAGGACTCATAGTCTGTGAATATAATTCAAAATTTGATTCTTATAAGGAAAACACGTTCTATCAATAAATAGTCCCATTAGAATCCAGGTTCGTGTCCGGACGACGAACGAATATGGAAGACGATGATCTCAAATGTAGTCCAATGTATGAATATCAGCAATTCCTCACTTAAATCAGTCTTTGTTTCCAAATATTTCCAGAATAAATTTCCATGAAATTTCTGAAAAATGTGACCAAAATTCATAAAGCGAAGGACGAGCTACCAATTTTCTTTATTACCTGACAAAGGCTCGTACTCAGCAACAAAAAAGAGTTAAAGCCAACAAGCGTTGTATATATCAACAAAACAATTTATTTCCTAGATAATAATGTAATAATTAGTAAATAGGACCTATAGTCTGAATATAATAAGGAAAACACGTCCTATCACTAAATAGTCCTATTAGAATCCAGGTTCGAGTCCCGACGACGTACAAATATTAAAGACGATGACGTCAAATGTAGTCCAATGTATGAATATCAACAATTCCTCACTTAAATCACAGTCCTTGTTTCCGAATATTTCCGGAATAAATTTCCATGAATATTGTTCAGATTTTTTTAGAAATGTGAACTTGTCGATGTTCCAGGAGAATGAACCTAAAATAAGACGAAGAATGAACAGTTCTGGCAACAAATTAAAAAATAATACACCTTGTACCTTCAAGGTGTTAGAATGACTCTGCCTGAAAAAAATATTAAGATTGCGTATTTAGAACAACAATGCCTCATTTGAAGTCTCGCGAGATAGGTCATGTGATCTCTTACTACACTATTTTGATCACGTCCACCAGTATAAATTTACTTAAGAACCAATCATTAAATGGTTGTTTACACACAGTGATCACTCAAATAAAGTATGCCCATAATCCTGATTAAACATTTTAACTTCCTGTTCACACCATTACTATGGTAAAACGGACTTAATGATAATTCTTACGTAATACATCCTCGTCTTAAATAAACAACATTTATCTCATTCCAAAAATGAATCCAAACTCCGAGAAAAATATTCATTGCAATTAAGTACAATGAAACAAAAATGAAATAAAAAAATTTCAAACCTTATTCACAAGTAATTTAATCATATATACGTAAAAGTATGACTCGGGCGGGGTTTGAATCCGCGACCTCACGCTTCAGAGGCGGACCCTCTAACCACTAGGCCAACGGAAAGGTGTCTATAATCAATGACAAAGAACAATCACTTGTCGTCGAACAGGAAAAAGGTCATAAGATATGTTTGCTTCAAAGGTCCATTAGTAAAACTGAAGCCACAGAAGTACCTGTTTGTTATTTCATTAAAATGGAATTCTTATGAGAAAATGGAGACCTCGCAAAGTACCTACTGGTGACAAGTGGTCAGTGGACTGTCAAATTGTAGTTCCAAAATCACACAGACAGGAAATTCTTAGTCTGACCCATGAAACTCCTTTGGCTTGTCATTTAGGGATTAATAAGACCTATCACAAAATCCCGAATCACTTATATAGGTCAAAATTTAAAAACGATGTTTGTAAATAATAAAAGTCTTGCCTTGTCAAATGGTAGGAAAACCCAGTTAGAAGATGCCCAAGTCTCATCTGCAATCTATTCCTGCATTTGATGAACCATTTAGCAGAATAATGTTAGATTGTGCTGGCCTCAGGTAACCAATAATAAACATAATGTATGCGTAATGTGTACAATTGACTTTTATTTCATTACATAATACTGTAATGTAAGATTGTTTGTTGGACTTGACCTTGACTTCATTATGTAAATAACTAATATTAGCTTCATTATTTTCTATGTATATGAACTTATTAACAGAATTATTATTTGGGTAAACAAGGAGTAAATATGTTGGTTTGGTCAGGGTTTTGGAGATTCCTAAGTGTATTTTATAGGCTATTGTGCTGTAAATAAACAAGGCACATTAGATTATTCTTGAAGATTATTTTCCGTTAGGCAATGGTTGTTTATAGCAAAGACTAATTGTGACATGGGGTTGAGCAGACAACTATATTATCTTGTGACTGAGGATTTTACCGGTCGCGCTTTGGCATCTAGCACTTTAAGTTGGATTATGTTGTGACCAGTTTGGACTTAATTTTATTTTCTTCAAACAATTGAATTCAAGTGATTTTTTTTTCTCTGGAAATACAAAGGTACTCTGACAAACTTCTTGGATAAAGACAGACACTTGAATTTATGACGAATTCAAACCTGGAATAATATTTATGTGATTCAACAAGAGACTGTTGACACATCATTACTTCGTAGACAATAAGAGACACGGCTTCGCTTTCAATTTTGGATCTCTTTGGGATTTTGGAATGAGATTTATTCAGGAATTTTTATTACTAAGACTTGTGTCTTTAATTATTGGATTATTTTGGACTTAATTAGCAATACAGTAATTTCTAATGGCCGATTGTTTGAATCTCCTTTCACTGAAGAGTATCTTGTTGCAGAGGATGACTGATTTTTTTTTCATTCAAGTTCGTAACATCACAAGATACCAATGGTAAGTAGATAGGGTTAGGGTTAGGGGATGTTGATGATGGAACTATTGGCAAGCGAAATAACTCGAGAGCAGACGATTGGTCAACAAAATGTTTTCTTGAACAGCTTGACATGATCCTTTGCGGAAGAACGGTATACCGTGTCAAGTGATAAACAGGCTGACATAGTGGACACAGTTCCTATTGAAGAGAGTGACTCCAGTCGTATCGGATGTCAAAGTAGACGTCGGTCTGACAAAATGGTCTGTAATGTGACGATTTGATTTTAGTGTGGTGTATTTATACACAATGTTACTCTACATCGTCTGTACAATTGATGTATTCGGGTTTTCCCATCAAAATTCACTTGTTTCGAAATAATGTAGAATATACATTAATCACCCTCGGGTATTGTTGTACACAAGAAACGAAAAACGAGTACATGCATTTTATAAAGAACCGCATTTGCATTATAACATCCTCGATTCACTGGTCCCGTGGCAAATATATACATCTATCTAAATTATGCACAACCATTGTCAAATATTAAGGAGAGCACACAGCTGTTAAAACTTGCTTAAAGCCTTACTTTTAACAAACGTGTTTGAACTAAACCCATATTCAGCAAACAGACCTCCTGGGATGATTGGATGCAAAGTAACCTATTGGGACGATTAATAGCATAGTAACATATTCGGACGATTTAAAGCAAAGTAACCTGTTGGGACGATTAATAGCCTAGTAACATTTTGGGACGGTTTAAAGCAAAGTAACCTGTTGGGACGATTAATAGCCTAGTAACATTTTGGGACGGTTTAAAGCAAAGTAACCTGTTGGGACGATTAATAGCCTAGTAACATATTGGGACGATTTAAAGCAAAGTAACCTATTGGGACGATTAATAGCATAGTAACATATTGGGACGATTTAAAGCAAAGTACCCTATTGGGACGATTAATAGCATATTAACATATTGGGACGGTTTAAAGCAAAGTAACCTATTGGGAAACTTATCATATAATCCTGTTGGAACGATTAAAAACAAACCAGCCTAATGGAACGATTAAAAAAGGTAACCCATTGCGAAGATAAACAAATTAACATATTGGGACGATTAACAGCAAACAATAACAAACTGGGGCGATTTACAGCAACTAAAAAGGTAACCTATTGTGGCCTCTCCTTTTTGTGCAGACTATAGATTACAGCACTGTAGCTGGACATTTGTTTGTGATTAAATGGTTACAAAATGTTCGGGATATCAAAGTCTCTGTAATTTGGGCAATTCTGGCGCCCACTTGGAGGCATTATTCAGCATTGATTAAAGACACGTATTTGGTTTGCAACATGAACTTGGTTAGAAACATGTGTTTGGTTAGCGTTCCATACAAACTCCATAGTAAAAATCTATCCAAGGAAACTTCGCTATTTGATCGAACATCTAAGTACATTGAATTGCGTTTGCTGTCGAAAAGTTCAAAAAATATAAAATGCTGAGTTACATAATTCGAATAATGAACATAAAATTGCATCATCCACTAACTTAATTCATAATTGCGCGTATTCAGTTAAATTGGAATTCTTCAATTCAAGTTCTGAAACTGAAAAACATTAAAAACTTCACACTCCTCTTTCGACTTGAAAAGAGTAGCCATAACTACAGGTTCTAATAAGAAATAAAATTTGTGGAAAATTAGTGTCCCATTCCTTCAATCTTAATTTAAAACTGTTCCTTTGGAATTGTTCTTTTTATTTATGGAACGTAAAGAAGCATCCATTTTTGAGAAGCTAAGTAAAGTAGTTGTAATTTCCACATCTACAGCATGGTCTGGTTCGTGTAATTATGGATAAAAATACTTGATTTTTTTTCTGTTTAATCATCAACCAGATATACTTGATTTGGAAAGTGAAACTTATTTAAAACAAAAATCTAATATACCTTAGGCACGTTTGTTATAGGACTCAAGTTCCATCAATAAAACAGTGTATCCCTTCTGATTTGTTTTTGGGAGAAGAGACGGTGGGGGACGGGCTTTTGTATTCTTAGGGTGATTGGTTTTTTGCAGTTACACATATAAGTTTTCCAAACATTCTTTTTACTAAACTTTTACTTTGCATTATCAACCAATCATGGCCTTCCAAACTCAAATATGCCCTTTCAAGACTGGATCCCATTTTTCAACATTATTGATGCGGCCACTTCTAAAAGTTACATGATTAATTGCCACAACACGTCGAGTACAGCAAGCAGGTAATGAGAATCGTGTTGTGATTACTGCCAGAAAAGAACAACCATCCCAGGAAAACATAATATAATCGAAAACATAAATTCTATAAAACGTTAAGAATGGTGTTAGCCGGATGCTGTTAAGAAGGAATACAGGAAAAATAAAACAAGCAGCTAAATACAATTAATAACTCTAAACTTCTTTTAAATCGTAAAGGAGACGAAACATTTATAAAAAATACGTTTTCAGTATACTCAATGATTTTTGCAAGTAACGAGTCGATAACATTTGATGGTTGTACTTGGCAACAAAATTCAGTATCTGTTATTACAGTACAAATTAGCAAACCTACTACACTTTCTCAAACAGATATTGATGTGTTTTGATGTAGGATTTTATTTTCTTATTTTCCCTCTAATTCGCCTTCCTGTGTACAGGAACGTTATCCAAATTATAAACATTAAAACTGACGTATTTAACAGAGCTGATCAATTTTATTATCATATGTGACATATCGTCAAAGTGTCAAAATAACTTTTAATTTTCTCTATTTACATGCTGGCTGCTGAAAACGGCAGTACAGTAATCTCAAGTCACAAAGATATATTTTATTACATATTTTGTTTCTTTACAAAAAAAGTTTTTAAGTTTTAACGAGAACGTAAAATATATTTATCACTTAAAACTTGTATTGAATACAAAATAGAGATTTATATGACAGTAGAAAACAGATATATATATATATATATATATATATATATATATATATATATATATATATATATATATATATATATATATAACATGTGAGAAATATTTGTACAGCATATTATTTAGACTTTATCCAATTTAGATAAACAATCCGTGAGTTGCATAAAAGATCATGTTCTGTCATAAGCAAGTCCAGTTTTGAGATAATCAAAATGTAGCCATTATCAAGAAACATTTAGACATTGCGTTACTGTTTTAAGTGGATTTATTTAACGTTGACTTTACAACAGATTATTGTAATTTATGCAGCGTTGACTGTATAGCAGATTCTTGTAATTTATCCAGCGTTGAATGTCCAACAGATTCCTGTAATTTGTACAGCGTTGACTGTACAACAGATTTTTTAATTGTACAGCGTTGTCTGTCCAATAAATTATTGTAATTTAAACAACGGTGTACAGCATATTCTTCTAATTTATACAACGTTGACTGTACAACAGATTTTTGTCATTATACAACGTTGACTATATATTAGATTCTTGTAATTTAGACAGTGCACTACATGGGTTATATCTTATGTAAGCCAAAAATGTTCGAGTTTTTCATGGGTATTCAAGTGTATGCAATAAAATACTATTAACAGCACATATTATTTCTAATGAAAACGCCACATATCCTGTGTCTATGTTGGTAACAGGACCATGTCATGTATCTGTGTTATGAACAGCACCGTTTCTAGTAGCCGTGTTGTAATCAG